GGCACGACTGTTTAATTTAGCACACCAATAATCACATTTTAATCTACAAGGGTCGGTTGAAAAGTTCAAAGACTGACCAAGATTTAAATGTAAGTTGACTCACCAGCTGGTAGACATACAAGTGTACCATAATACATCTGATCGGCTAGTTGTATTCTGTCTCAGCTAGTGTGTCTACTTACATTTGAATCTTGGTCAGCCTATGAACTTTTCAACCGGGCTTCGTATACACAACAATATCTACGTCGGCCATATTTATTTCTATATCTTGACATTTTAAGTCGTGATATTCATCTATAATTTAATCTACGATTGTCTGTCAAACTTTCCTCATACTTTTCAGTGTTATTTTGAACTTTGTTCTTATCATCCTTGTCTCCATAGACACCAATAAATGATGAATTAATGGCTTCCAAGGAGAGGGGGAGAAAGACAAGGAGTGAGAGAGAGGGAGAAAGAGAAGGAGTGAGAGAGAGGGAGAAAGATAGAATGAGAGAGAGAGAGAGAGAGAGTAGGTGGGAGAGAGAGAAAGACAGAGAGTGTGTGAGAGAAAGATAGAAAGAAAGAGAGAGTGAAGGAGAGAGAAAGTAAGTGAAAGAGAGTTCTAGTTGCAAATCCCGATAAGGGAAAAAATGTATCAAAGAAAAAAGAAATGGTGGCAACTTGAAATAAAAGTCTTTTTTTCTATTAACGAAGTAATAGAAAGTCCTTATTCTTGACGCCTGCCATTTGTATGTGTGCCTCGATTACAATGGAACTGGTTATGGAATTGTCGGCCAGAAAAATATCTTTTTCTTTCTTCACTGTATAAATGGAAGATAGAGAAAATAAGAATGATGAATGGAAAGCACTATATACAAGAACCATATATATATATATATATATATATATATATATATATATATATATATATATATATATAAACTTGTATATTTCAAGAACATTATAGCAAGAACAATTTTATTTTTCTGTGACACGTTTCATCCTTTAGGACTTCATCAGAGTAATTGTGATGGCACTGAAGTGATTATACATGGGCAAAACTTAATTTTTAAAAAGATTTTTACACACACACATATATACATATATATATATATATATATATATATATATATATATATATATATATATACCGGGTGTAACAACAAAATTGTCCAAATCGTGTAACAGCATAATTGTCCATCCCACAAAATGCAGTAATTTGAGCTTGCTACACCAGACTCTTCCCTAGTATATATATATATATATATATATATATATATATATATATATGATGCCAAATCGGTCAGGTTTCGATCTCGACTTGAAACAATCGGATTTCTAGCCGCACTGATGAGTTGTGATACAGCGAAGCAGGCCTGTATGGGGATGATATTATTATGCTCTCAATAAATTCAGTTGAGCACTGTTGAGAGATAGGGTAATTCTAAACAGAAGCCATCTCCGCTAACGCAGCGCTATTCATTAAATGAATCGAGCACTATGGCTGTCTGGCGTTTGTTTACATTCGTAAAATTTCCCTTGGCCTCTAACCGTGCGCTGATAGCTCAGGGGTAGTAACTTCGACTGATACCAATTCGGTCGAGTTTCGATTCCGACTTAAAACAATCAGATGTCTAGCCACACTGATGAGATGTGATACAGCGAATGAGCCCTGGATGTAGATGACATTATATACAGTACGGTGCTGAAATTTATCTTTAAACTTTAGCAACTGAGCTATTTTTTTTTAATATTTTATATATTATTATATAGCATTAATAATCTAAAAGTTTTAAACAATTACTATGCGTAGAAAATCATTTATTTTAAAATTATCCCAAAACTCGAAAAACGATTGGTGCATAATTATAAGGACATTAAAAAAAAAACTATTAGAAAAGTGACAAACACTAAAAATTTATGGAAATTAATATTTAGTTTGTTTTCCATGATTGTCTATTACTTTAAACAGTCTATTTTTCATAGAATATATTAACTTCTGGGTGCCGTTTTAGTTAATTGAATCACAAGCTTTCACTTTTGACCTCTTGTTATTAAATTGATGCCAATTCTTGTATACTTGCCTAACCAATACCTCCCAAATGTTCTCGACATCATTGAAATCGGGTGATCTGGCGCGTCAAACGATAACATTGATTTGTTTAGCTTGAAACCATTCCATTGTGGACTTGGCTTTGTCAACAGGAGCTTTGTCTTGTTGAAACACCCAGTTTCGACCACCAAATTTTTCCCATAAAGCAAAAGAGCAGAAGACAACGAACCCTGATAACCCAAAGCATCAAGTCTTTGCCTGTGATTCCGAATACAGCTCAAATCATAACACACCCTCCTACTTGCACACGCTTGGAAAAGACCAACTTCTTTCTGAGGTTATGCCAATAATAAGATATCCTATCCAGACCGTCCAAATGATTTCTTTTTCATCTGAAAATGCCACACCTTCCCATTGCTTGTCCCAAATCATGTGAGCTTTGGCCCAACTGAAGCGCTCTGACATATGATGCTCGGTCAAATATGAAACGTTCATAAGCGTGCCATAACTGAACTCACGATCTGTTCTCTCTAAACCGTCCAGCGTGAAATACCCAAAAGTCGCCTGGATCTTGGAACACGATGTGATGGCATTGCTTGCTTCTTTTTTGATCGCTTTGACATCCCTGTCACTTAATTTCTTGCTTCTTCCGCCTTTTTTCCTGGCTCCATATTCTTACGTGCTTGATAAAAAGTTGTTAATAACAGTTTTTGAAAGCTTAATCCTAATGGCAATTTCTCTAATATTCAAATTTTCATTTTTATCGCGATTGTTTGACCTTTTTCAAATTCACTTAATCTTGTTCCCAAAGGCATAGTTTATGTCAATTTTGTTATGCACAAATGCTAGTGAGTTGTTAATAATAATTTATAAAATTTTAAGCGATTCTTGATTTAAATTATTTTAACTTGCAGTGCTCTTTTTTTAATGTCCTTATAATTATGCACCAATCGTTTTGGGAGTTTTTGAATAATTTTAAAAATAAATGATTTTCTCCTCATAATAATTATTTGAAACTTTCAAATTATTAATAATATATAGTAATATACAAAATATTAAAAAATTACCTCCATTGCTAAAGTTTAAAATACAATTCAGAACTGGCCTTAATTATGCATGTATATATATATATATATATATATATATATATATATATATATATATATATATATATATATATAATATATATATATATATATATATATATATATATATATATATATATATATATATATATATATAATAAATTATAAATATAGGAATATAGCTAGGTTTCAACCTAGGATCTTTCAGGGATCTTCAGGGTAATCTGGCCAGATTACCCTGAAGATCCGTTTTGTGAAACCTAGGTATGTTCTTCTGGTATTCTTTAGGATTTATTTTATTTATTTCAGCTCTACTTAGCGTATTGAGCACTCTACGTTTTAGCTTTGTTACTCGCTTGGGTTTTTTTTTTCTTTGGACTTAAAACTTAAGGCACTGGACGATTTGTTTCACCCTGTTCGGGTGTTTCTCGTTTTTTCTTCTTTTTTTTTTTTCAATTTTTTCCACGGGTACCAATTTGTTTTGATATACTTGCAAGTTGTGCTATCCGAGGTTTTTTACCAACCGAGTACTACTATTAGTATAATATATATATATATATATATATATATATATATATATATAATAGACTACCCACAATCCACCACTGACCCGTATATATATAAATAGCAGAGAAAAATAACAGCACACGTGGCCTGACGATTGCATATAGCATGAAACAGACTGTCGCCTCTAAGTGTTGACTTCTATGTTCACTTTATATTTACACACGCTCTATCTCTGATATCTAGCACTTTATCCCATAAATATAGCACACCTTAAGACTATATTTTTTTTATATATATATATATATATATATATATATATATATATATATATATATATATATAGGCTCTCCCTCGAATTCAACGTATGAGGGTCAAGCAGATCTGTTCCCAGGAAACCGACAGCCCGACAACAGCACATACAGAGACCTGGTGCACTACGTGCCACAAGGTCCCCAAACGACCCTCCGCAGGTTTTGAATTCAGAGTTGTTCTTCTCCTAGACCAGTTGCCTTCCAAGGCTATAGAACCCAGTCTGTCCTGCTATTTACCCATAGCTGGAGGGAGAAAAAGAGGATTCATAGTGATATTAGCACGTAAGGGAATGATTCGAACTCGGCTCTGCGATTCCTCAATCCAAGCCGCTATCCATTACTCCACCGTGCCTCTCTCTCTCTCTCTCTCTCTCTCTCTCTCTCTATATATATATATATATATATATATATATATATATATATATATATATATATATATATATATCGGCACATTTCATTGAATACAACTGACAAGGTGGTTTATTTAGCTTTTTATACAATTTGTCATGCGATCTAGATATATGATCACCCATGTATTCTTTGTATTTATTCTTACTTTTTCTTACTTAGTTGTCATGTGGGAGCACGTTACAGTTTCGTAAATAAGAATATTTCTGGCTACTCCTAATCTCTTCGTCGGTGTTTGTTGAATAGTTTCAACTCCAGTTGGCCTTTAATGAGTGCAGTCCGAAAAATCACCAATCCTTTCGTCGTGTCAACTATTTAAGAATGTTTTGCCTCTTTTCTTTTTTGTTTATGAGGTGTCCTCAGAAACGAGTAAACGGCCATTATACGAGAGTGAAAGGAATGATGCTAGAGCTGTGAAACCTTTGATTATTAAGAACTGCATTGTTTCTTTCCAGCTAAACTTGTATCTGACTGCTCCAAAAAGTCTTCAGATGTAACTAGTAGTAACTTCTCTTGATAATAGGCAACATTTGGCATCGTCGTGTTATCAAGTACCTACGAAAAAGAGTTTAGCCCGCAAGGACATTCATACTGATATGGTTGATTCATTAGGGAATGATGACCCAACTTTATCAACATGAAGATAGCTTACAGACGATTGACTATAAATCAAATAGTCAATGCTATTAGTCATATCCCGTTGAGAAAGTTACGAACGTTCTGCACATTGAACTTAGTAAGACGAAAGTTTCTTCTTGGTAGGTGCCACGTCTTCTGACACCTGATCAGAAGCGCACCAGGCTGATCACATTACGGAAAAATTCGACATTGTTTGAGCTCGATCCAGCTGGTTTCCTTGAACAGGATGAGTATTCGTTTCATAACTTTGAGCCATAGACAAAGACACAATACATGCAGTGGAATCACCCATTTTATCCGTAGGGAAAGAGGTGGCCTCAGTTTTTGGGACTGTATTCAAAGGGCCACACCATCAATGGAGAGTACTATATCAACATGTCGAGGCAATTATGAAAGACTATCAAGACCGGACGACCAGGAAAACTGACGAAAAGTGTCCTCTTTCATCAGGACAAGGATCCAGCACACACGTCCTTGATGCTCTGCGTATCTGTGGCTTTAAACTTGTTAATTCCCCACCGCTATTGTTCTGATTTGACCATCATCTGTTCTCCAACATGAAAAAAACACTTCTCTGGTCACCAGTATCGCAGGATAATGATGTCATATCTGCTGTTGATGACTTTTTTTTACTAATATTCTTTCAACACTCAGATGTCAGTTTACCTGAAAATAAACAATGCAATTAAGAAGAAGAGTTGAAATTAATGCATACAAGGTTTCACGGCTCTAGCATTAATGCTTCATAATCAGCACACGAAGGTTTCAGACAACCCTCGTGTATGGTTATTACAGAAGAATTAGTTTAAGAAATTTATTCGATCAAAAATATTTATAATATTGACACAAACGAATCAAAGTTTTATCGCGGAAGATACACAGTAAACATCGTGCATATGAAGGGTGGGCGGTAATTGTTAGCGAGATGGTCTTTTTGCACGTTACAACTCGATGGTAAGTTCAATCTCAATTGTATGCCCCATATTTGTGATTTTGTGCAAAACTAAGCGAAGTTTAATATCGTCAGGTTCATACTCCTTTTCTGTCTTTTGAACAGGAGTATCGGTTTATCACTTGTTTCCTGTTTAGGATTGAGTTTCCGGTTCCCTTTTAAATTCTACTTCAACTCTATATTTCCAACGTCTCCGACTAAACTCTAAAATTTTTATTTTTTATTTACTTTTTTCCTCAATAGAATTCGATAGGTTTCTCTATCTTCCTGTTCTCGCCCCTTCCCGGTCTTTTGAACGGAAGTAGAGATTTATCTCTGGTTTCCTATTTAGGATTGAGTTTCCGGTTCCTTTTAAATTCTACATCAACTCCATACATCTAATGTCTACGCCTAAACTCTGAAATTTTATTAACAATTTATTTACTTTTTTTCTTCCTCAATTATAGATAGGTTTCCCTATCATCCGGTTTTCTCTCCTCCCCCCTCCCGCTATTTTGAGCACAAGTCGAGGCTTATTCCTTGTTTCCTGTTTAGGATTGGGTTTCCGGTTCCTTCTAAAGCATTTTCCTTCTTTTTTCCTTCCCTGCGTCTTAGTAGAGTCATCGCCTTGTTTGGGGGTGAAATGATTAAAAATGAGAAAAAAAATTCAATCATAATTTTGCCAGAGGACTAATAAAGCTTTCGTCAGCACTAGAATTTCCATTGTCAGTGAGCATCTAGCAAGTCACGAGGACACATATCCGCAAATACCGGGGAGAAGTTTTATTTCTGTGTGTTGTGTGGAGGGGTGGGTGTTTGGATTAAGCAAAGCAGGAAATCACCATCAACTAGAAAACCCGTCTACGATCGATACAAGGAAAATGAAACAAAAAGGGTTGTGCCAGGTTAACATATCAGTTTGAGTCAAAAGTGATTTACGTTTTGGGTAACCAATTGTAATGACTAATGACTAATTGTAATGACTAATTGTAATGACTAATGTAACATCATAACTATATATTCTTTAAATATATCACAACAGGTTTTACATACGACAATGTTCAATGACGATATTCGTGCACGATGTGATTAAAAAAGAATTCCTTTTTTTTTTCAACTATTTCACCCAAAGCAAGGCGATAAAGCCACTATGACGGAAAGGGTTACTGAGAGTGAAAGCAACAAGGAGAGAGATAAAGAAAGAACAGGATTCAAGGAGACAGAAGATGATGATTTACATTGCATTTACATTTTTTGAGTAATGTATAGCGGCTCGGATTGAGGAATCGGATAGCAGAGTTCGAACTCCAGTCGAATCCGTTACATTCACTTACGTGCTAATACCCTTGGGAAAGGTATGAATCCTCTTCTTCTTCCCTTAGCTATGAGTAAATAGCAGCACAGACCGGGTTCTATAGCTTTGTATGGCAACTTGTCTACCGCAGAAAGAAATGTCAACCTACTGCGGGAAAAAAATCTGCCTCGTCAGTCATGTATCGAAAGATACATGATCGCCTAAGTAGACAAGAAAGTAAAAAAAAACCCGGAAGAGGCAAGAAGTGCGGATGAACACCCAGGAGAATG